GACCCAGCGGAGAAAGGCCTTGGCTGTCTTCTCCTTTGATGCTGTCTGCAAGGGTGGCATCTCTTCTTGTTGGAAGCGTTTCTGGAGGAGCTTAGGACGCCTGCACGAGACAAGAAGCTCATCTGTGCGTCGGAGTCGTGTTCTAAAGCTATTTTCTGCCTGTTGATACCTTCGCTTTATGAATCGTGGTAGTAGTAGGGTTGGCAACGTTCTCCGCACAAGAGGATGAGCGTCGTCAAGTGATTTGAGCCGCGCGGAGAATCTCCATCGCCGTTTTTCCAAGTCCGGGTATGGCGCTCTCGGGGTGGAGGATGGTGATGGGCGTCGTTTTCCAGATGGGCAGTATGGCTCTCATGGACTGGTGTAAGGCCTTGTTCATTCTTTGTATGAGATGTTGATTGCTCGATGGCGTGTCTCTATAGGCTGACTCCATCGCGGTCTGGTGGTGCCCGGGTACCAGGCTTCAGATCCATGCAATAGTACCGGCTCGACACAAGCCATGACGGCACTTCACGGCTTGGGAGGGCCTTCGTGTTGGCGAGACCCCGTAGATGATAGGCGACGGCATGCGCCTTGGCCGCCCACTTTTCGACGTGAACGCGGAACGGTAGCCTGCTGTCACCCACCCGCCGGTAGGCTGGCTCGGGGGGCTTCTCGACATCGCCGTGGCGATAGCCGGCGTGGTCCTGAGGTTGCTGCGAGAGAAGTGCATGACTTCGGTCTTTTTCGGGTCAAACGAAACGCCATTTGCTGCACCCCATCGAACCATCTCGCCGATGGAGCTGGAGGCCGGTGCAGTGGTTTCATCTATTGTGTCGCCTATAGAAAGGATAGCCGTGTCGTCTGCGTAGCCGAAGCGGCCCTGGGGTTGCCTAGTCGGTGGATTGGCTCAGTGTAGAGCAGGAAGAGGATGGGCGATACTGGTGAGCCTTGAGGCAGTCCACACTGGAGAGGAGCGAAGGGCGTGAGGGTTCTTGATACCTCACGCGGGCTGAACGATCCTTCATGAAGGACTCAGCCCATCTGACGAGATGGTCGGGCCAGCCCTGTTCACGGAGACGCAAGACTAGTCTCTTCGCACGGTTGAAGGGGACCTTGGATATCCATCGTGACCAGGGTGGCCACCTTCTTGCGTGCAAATGCTTCTTCGATATCGTGGATCAAGGCGGTCACCAGGTCTGTTGCCGACCTTTGGGGGAGCGCCGCTTTTGAAGGCCCATAGTGAACAGCTGCCCACGCCAAGCGGCGAGCGATCAATCTTTCCAGCCCCTTTCCGAGACAGGAGAGCAAGGAGATGGTCGCCAGCCCCTGGCTTTGTGAGGTCTCGTCGTCCCGGCTTCGCGATCATGACCACCTCCGCCTGCTTGAATGGTTCCGGGTGATGACCCAAGAAGGCACCTTTCGAACAAACACGTACCGACGATGTGCCACCCGGGTTTGAGAAGATTGACGGTGATGCTATCCGCCCCAGGGGAAGTATTGCCTGTATGGATAGTCGCATGCTGTGCCTCGTCTAGGGACTCGGGTGAGAATGTGATCGATCGAGGAGGAGACGTTCGGGTCAATATCGTCATCAGAAGTTCCGCGTTCCAGTAACGCTCCCCGAAGTGCGCTCGCCTTGTCCATCTGAGTTTCGTATACAGCGTCGTCGACCTGCAGGGGAGGCGGCTGGAAGGCCCCGGATTTGCCCCGACGGCTTAAGACAGCACTGCGCTGGAGAAGCTATCGATGAGTTCCCGCCAGTACTTTCGTTTTGCTCGGCGGACCACGCGATGAAAGTCTCTCTTGGCGATCTTAACATCCTGATTGAAGCTAGGGGGTCTCTTGAGGCCGAATGCAGCCGCCGCACAGGCGCACTCTTCTGTCCACCATGGAGCTGGGCAGCCACCTTTCCGTGAGGGCCGACCCACTGCCTTCGCTGCTGATGTTAGCAGATTTACAAGTGAACAATTGTCCAGCTCCGCGGGCGTTGAATCTCTGAGGGGGTCTCTGTGGCTCAAGCTCTACGGTCTCGACGGATCGTTTAAGCTCATCTTCTGTCGTCACTCGAATCTTGCCCGGCTGTAGTGGAGCGGGCTTTATGTTGGGGAGAGTCAAGCTGAGGGTGAAGTGGCGACGGGAATGGTCCTCAACAGTGGCTTTCAGCAAGTGGGATGTTGGCAAAAGCGATTGTGTTCGGGGTTTGGTGGGATATCTAAAGTGTTAAGCAGGTCGATGTCATTCTCTGATGCCCAACCGGCAATCTCTTGGCCGCGGTCCGTAGTCTGCCCTTCTGCGTTGTTCAGTGAAATCGCCAGCGACGAGGCAGCTTCCGGGCGGCCATCGGAGCAGCGTGTCAAGGGCATCCCTTTCGTCGTTCTGGCGGTAGAAGTTGACTACAGTCACGCCATTGATTGTGATCCAGAGAATATCGCGAGTCTGGAACGGTCGTATCTGGTCAGCGAGAAGCCTTGGGTCTCGTCGGACATATGTCATCACTCTAGGTCGAGTATCGTTACTGTCCCAGGACTCTACTGGGTGAGGTGTAGTGGGTCTGTCAAGCAAGGCGTTTTCGTATGGGCTGTCCACGGCTCCTGCAGGAGCACGATGTCATATCGTTCCGAGTCAGCCAGTGCCAGAGCGCAGTCGGGGGTTGCAATGCGACTTAGCGGCTTCCTGTCGTTCTTTCGTGTCTGCGAATATCTATTCCTGGTCATGAGGACGAGTAATGAGTACAATTCGACGCTTTCTGGCGAGCCTGGTCTAGGATGCTCGGGCTCCTCCATTTCATAACCCGCCCTGGGGGCGGTGGCCACCTATGCACGAAGGTGCTCGTGACGCCGGCCGGGCTCGAGTCTCGAGCGTCTGGACGTTCGTCTGCTGGGGTATCGTCCCTCAGCAGCTCGGTCGTGTCTTGTCGGATTTCTATGTGGGATTCTGGTTGTGAATCCAAGTGACGTTGTCGGTACGTCTCAGGCCCTCTGGTTCCCGTTGTTCTTTGCTGAGCCGGCGGAGGACGCCACGCACTTTCTTCGGCCG